TCCTCTCTTAAGGGTCCAGAATTTTGCCTTCAGCTTTTCGAGAAAGTTGCTTATAGTTTTGGAATCAAAGATTCAATTAAACTAAAACTTGGAATTTTAGCTCTTCAGACATTCTCTATAAGATGAGCATAGTTTAGAAGCATCTGAAATGATCATTGAGCACGCTTTCATGGCATTCGGATGTATTTCTCATGCAGCGACTCATATATGTTTATAGTCATTTTGATAACTGTAATAGCTTTTCTCTACTTACTTGTATTTGGCATCCATGATTGAAATGATTCTTTCATAGTACATAGATCAATGATTGAGTTAGATAAATGAATAGAAAATTTTAAATCAATTTGTTTTTCTGTTATGAACGGGCTAAATAATTCCTTAAAGGCGTTTCCATCAAGTCCGATACAGCACATATAAAGAAAAGATAATTTCTTTAATACTTTACATTCACTTATATCATCAATTATTTGCTTGAATATATTGAATTTGTTTAGAAAAAATTCTATTTCGAATTCGATTAAAAATGCAGGAAAAATTGGCGTAATTACATCGATATTATCACGGTCATCTATTCGACGAATCGGGGTTTCAAAAATAATATGTAATTGTTTTAAATTTGGAAACATATAAAAAATGAATTAGAGATCATTTAAATGATAAATTGTAATCGTTAGTGTTTCAATGCTTGTATTTGGTGTTAATGTTGATAATGGACAATGACGAAAACACAGTGTAGAATTTCTTAAATCATTTTTTTAACGTTGCTGCTGTTGAATAAGAAGAAGATAACAACAATTGAAAGAAAACTGGAATACAAGAATAACATTCATGGAATCTGTAGAACGTTACCTCCGAATCAATTAAATTCAAAAACTGACACTAAAAAATTACACGCGAAAATCGTTTATTCTAATTGTTTCTAATGAAGTTCTAACTATTAATGTGAAAGATGCACTTGCCAAAATGCGTGTCCCGATAACAAGATCTGTTTATAGATACAGATGATATGCACGCTTCCAACATCTTAACGAAATCTATGAATGCAATACTATAATGGAAGATGTTTGTTACTCTAACTCTATTTCAAAGTTATTTAAAAAGAAAAAGGCGCTATTTTCTATTTCTATGTTGGTTACAGGAAAACAATCTAGTTCAGACTTTTAAAAGTACTTTTTTATCCCGAGTACATAAGGTTACTGTTGCTTTACTAATCACAACGACGGCTGTAACTGCAACCACAAGAAACAGTCTGACTAATATATACAGGTCTATCTTTTATCTATCTAGATGCATATATATGGAAATAGATACAGATAGATCTGTATTCACATCTATCCGTATGGCCAACTCGCTAAATGCGTATAATTTTCAGTTCGAAACTATTCTAATTAATCGGTATTAATCAAACAAAAACCGTAACGCTGTGACACTTTTGACCGTTTTTTGTCACAGCGTTACGGTTTTTCTGATTTTTCTTTGATTAATACCGATTAATTAGAATAGTTTCGAACTTAACAAGCTATCGCATCTTGTAGAGCAAACAATTTTCTACAAACTGGTGTACTTGTTCAATTTTCGCCTGCTCGTCTTCAGTCTTTTAGACACGTTTTTCAGATAGCTCCAAAATCGATTTTTGGGGCTGTTTGTACAACAGCTGTATTTTCATAACGAATCAACATTCAGAGCCAAGACACTTCTCATTTTGTAGAGAAATGTTTAATCTACTTAATTATCTAGTTGCAATTTTAGATTAGTTTGCAGCTTTACTGCAATAATCTTTTGAAAAAGAGCGAAAAAAGGAGACCGTTACGTGGACAAGCCGACAGACACTATCGAAAACACAATTCAATTTGCACAAGGACTTGGCCTTTTGCCAGTGGTTCCAATAACACCGTGCCCGAATAGTCACAATAATTGGTATCTTGGTAAATACTCCCGATCGATCGACAGTAAGTAGCACAGAGTTTTAGTTTCTGCATACTGATTCATTTTTCTTTTTTTGTTAGAATACCAGTGGCGTTGTCGTGAGAAAAATTGTAAACTAACTACCTATGATAGGACAAAATTGGAAATTTACAAAATTTGCGTAAAAGTGGAGAACATCAATCTACAATGACTGGATTATAATAATTTTGGCCATTTTATTGTTTGAATAAGTGATATAGTTGTATCTCATGTTTTCTTTTTACTGTAATTAGTAAAATGATAATAGTTTTCTAATTAAAATAAAGCGTAATTAAAAAATAAAAGTTATGTTTCTAATACAAAAGCTTGGAGCAAGTCAAGCATTTGTTTCTGACTCTATCTTCAACTTAAGTATTTAGGAGTGAGCTTTTGAAGAAGTGGTATGACTCTCGGAGTGAGGTTTTGAGGTTTGACTGATTCTTACGCATACTTTAGACTAACTTGGACTGAGTAAAATTTGAAAGTTCAATTGAACCTGAGATGTTTATTGTTCAAATTCGTTACATAATAATTATGCGTTATGTGGACAAGACTTCTCGTAACATTCATACAGAAAGAGTGATTGTTCTTGGAGAAACAAAGGTAGTGTTGAATATTACCTTCTCCTTCTAGTAGAATGAAATGTAAAGTAAGGGAAAAAAGTTCAACACATCTTTGATTTCTTAGATTTTCTGTCAAGAACAATTTACTGAAGATATCCAAATAGTGATTGCGATAGCTCTCGGAGCGCTCTACCAACCTACGATGACAAGGACAGTTATTTGAGTTTTTATTCCACTAATATTTTTCCTCCAGCGGAAAAACGTTTAGCACACTTTTAATATTTTCGGGTTTTTTCATCATTAACGATAACTGATATCTCTTTCACATACCATTCAATGCAGAATTTAACTGGCTACATTTTGGTTAAAAGTATTTTTGAAAAGTTATTAGTCAAATATAGACATATTATACTTGAATCAAAGGTACGGAGCATGTGGCATCACCTACAGCTGATTTTACTTGCAGTTGACATAAAACATAAACATATTATATCTCAAATTTAGTTTTCTATAGACAATTTTACATAAAAAATGAGAACAAGATAGTTTCGAGAATAAAAATCACGTGAAACATGAAAATTTGACACATTTTTTAAAACTTTGTAAAATTTCATCAAAATTTTCACATCATAACCTCTTGAAGGTGGTACAGGTGGTAAATCATTTACTAGTGTTTTATTATGTGTTAATGCAACAGGGAAAATATTTCCACCGTATATCATTTTTAAATCAAAACGTTTATTTGCTAAATGGTATACTTAATCTTCTGCCCCAGCCATTCAAAGAAGTGATATGTTGGATACTTTATTCAAAAATGTGCAACGTCTTACTCTTCACTTCAATCTCCCCCGCCCTGCTAAAACTGAAATTGTCTCGGCATATATATACTCTGAGACGCACAAAAAAATAGCTGGATGAAAAGTATAAATAAAATAGCCACGTCGCAATAAAACGAAAAACCTAGATATAAAATGTAAACTTCAACTAGACAATAGATGAACACAAAGGAAGACATTTAGACAAAGTATCTAGATGAAAAGTATAAATAAAAATAGCCACGTCGAAAAAACCTAGATATAAAATGTATACTTCAACTAGACAATAGATGAACACAAAGGAAGAAATTTAGACAAAGTATCTGGATGAAAAGTATAAATAAAAAATAGCCACGTCGCAATAAGACGAAAAGCCTAGATATAAAATGTAGTTGTAAATTCAAATGTTTATGTAGACGAATAGAGAAAGCAAAAAGATCGAGAAAGTTAGAGGTGTCACTTCCTAACACCTCCTCTCTAACACCAGATGAGCGATGCATCTGCTCATCTTTAGTTCTATCAAAAGAGAGGAAAATTAAAGTCCACGGAAAATAGAGAAAAATCGATCATAAATCAAGTAAAACTCAAAATTAGACGAAAATGCGAATCAAACGTGTATTGAAACATATTTACAAACGCGGTAAGTTTGTGAACTTGAATATCTTAAAACATTCTGGAAAATAATCGTGTCTATATCAACTGTCAGCATGCTAGAGAGGTTTGTGGTATAGCGGGAGAGCTTGCTGGTTATTTTGTTCAGCGGTTGATCAATACAATACACTGCCACTTGTAATTATTGATTAATCAAATATAATATTGTTGCTTGTACTGGTTAAATATCATATGTGACGCCAATGGTAGGATCATTGCTAATCATAATGTATGTATCTACATGCTAATGAATTTTCTACATAATACTCAATCAATATTATTCATTCAACTATTCTTATTTTGGTTCAGTATTCAATTGGTGTTCTTAATAATTCTATAATTACCATCGTGTGAATATTTTGTTTTAATTAATTTATGTATAGCCATTGCCATCTGTCCAGCATTTCCTAACTGGATGGATAATTCTCCGTTTACTTGGGTGTTTGGTATCAATTAAGTGTTTTTAATACTGTTATTATTCAATAATTAAACATCGTGCACAATAATAATCATAAAATAATCTCATGACCATGTAACATTTCGTAAAGAAAAATGTGAACCAGTCACAAAGGTCGGCATTATCTAAACGACATAATAACATATCCTGTTCCATATAGTACCCTAATGATATATGTAAAACACTAATATAATATTCATCGCATAAATCATACTATAATTAACTCCAAATAATAAATATAAGTAATTTGAACGAGATCTAATAACGTTCATAATATGGAATTAGGTGATTGATATGTTTTTCTTGTTGATAATGTTCTTCTTCATGTTGAACGATAAATTTCACATCACTTAATTTTTGTACAATCCGAAATGGCCCATGATGTCTTCCATCTAATTTTGATCTTTCAGTTAATATTTTGACCCAAACTAAATCATCGATTTTATATTGTGGATGTTGTCTTCCTCGATCATATCGTTGTTTACTTAGTTGTTGCTGTTGTTGGATGTTAAATCGAACAGCACGAATAACAATTTTCTTAATTGCATTCGCTTTGTCCCAATAATCATTTGATTTTGACATTGTTATTATTGCGGATGGTGGGTCAAATGGTGATAACAATTTTCGAGTGAATGCAACTTCATATGGTGTAAAGCCCGTTGTTGCGTGAATGCCAGAATTGTATGCGAATACAATGGATTGTAAATATTCGTCCCAGTCGTTAATATTGATGTTATTGTATTTCTTCAATTGGTCGCAGAATGTTGAATTGAATCTTTCGACTTGACCGTTAGACATTGGATGATATGGGATAGAGAATATTTGTTTGCATCCGGTTAATTTTGTGATGGCTTCCATTAATTCATTCTTGAAATGAGGGCCTTGGTCTGATTGTAATTGTTTGATTGCACCATGTTTTAATACAATGTCTTCGTATATCATTTGTGCTGCGTCTTTGGCTGTTGCTGATGGTAACGCTTTGGCAAACACATATTTGGATAACCGATCCGTAACTACTAATACATATTGGTTACCTTCGGATGATTTGAATGGGGATTTCCAGAAATCCATTTGCATAATTTCGAAAACGCCTTGTGGTGGCTGTTGATTTTGTAAGAGACCAGGCTGCTTCCGTCGTTGTGTGTTGAATTGGGTGCATTTTTGACAGGATCGAAGGTAATTTTGTATGGATTCAAACATATTTATCCAGTAATATTTATTTCTAATTTTGTGATATGTTCGTCGCACACCAAAATGGCTACTGAAAGGGTGATCATGATATGCAAATAAGATTTCGGATTGTATTTTTGTTGGTATCCAGGGTAATTTAAATTTTGTTGAGACACCTCTTTCAATTAATTTGTATAGTATACCATCTTGGACGATGTCTGATGAATATTTGTGTGGATCGTTATTGATTTGCTGCATTCTAGCTTGGATAATTTTATCTTTTTGTTGTTCATTCTTAATGCGTCCCAGACTGAAATCAATATTGAGCGATGGTGATGTTGTGGGTAATGGAGTATTTGTTTGTATAATTGATATATCATTTGCTGTATTTGTTGTTTTTATTGGATTTGTTGCCTTCTGCGTTTTCGATCGTGTCATACTTGTATTGGGCGATGCGTGTGATTGTAACTGTTTAGTGCTGGATCTTGTGATAGCATTGATAATAACAGGTGACGATAATTCTTGGTTTGGGTTCTCTTCGTTTTGGTATTGTCTTGATAGCAATTGTTGTTCATCATCAGGGTCAGGAGATTGTTCTGGATATCTAGATAATAAATCTGCATCGCAGTTACATTTACCTCGTTTATATTTGATAGCCATAATTTGATATTCTGATAATGCCACCTGCCATCTATCAATTCTTGAATTGTTTGATTTCTTTTTTCCAAAACTGCATAAGGGGCAGTGATCAGTTTCTACAATGAATGGTCGGCACCATACATATTCTTTTAATTGTTGTATACACCAAACCATGGCCATACATTCTTTTTCTGTTGTGGAATATTTTTTCTGGGCGTTATTGAATTTTTTCGATAAATATTTAATAACTTTTATGCCATTTGGTGTATGCTGTCGAAGAACACCACCCATACCTGCTCCTGATGCATCAGTGGATAATACTAATTGTGAATTATCATCTGGAAAATTTAATAGTAGTGGTGGTGTTGTTAAAGCTTGTTTTAATTTGTCATATGCTTGCTTGGTTGTTGACGTCCAATTTTTTGCAAAACTGATATGTTTCCTTGTGAATTGGAATAATGGTGCAGCTATTTTGGCAAAATCTTTAATAT